TGCGAGGTCCATCGATTGCTGTTCTGCCATTCCCCCTTCTTGTATCAGTTAACTTCGACTAAGGTAAGCTTGGTAACAAGCAACCCCAAGCTCAGTGACAACAGCAGTAAAGGTGGCTTTTTCCTTCCTTTGTCTGCCCTGTGTTGACATCAACTCTACTCCAGGTCTCTTCATTTGGGGGCCTGCCTGACATCGCAGCCTCTGTTTGGGACATTGTCAGTCCCATGGGAGAGGGAAGAGACAGAGATGGCAAACCATGAGCTGACTCAAAGTCCCAACTAGGACTTCCATTCCAGATTTCATTAGTCAGAAGAAACCACATGGCCTCTACTGAGATTGGCAGCTGATTTTTCCGTGAAATAACTCTGTTGCCATGGTAACAGGCCATCCAAGCCATCCAGAGATAGACATTTAAAACTTCATGGCCAGGTTGCCCACTTGGCATGCCCAGAATTTGCCATACCCTTTTCCTCCCTTGGTCCCTCTCACTGGGGTTGTTGGTTGCTGCCTGGCCCGGCTCTCCCAGGAGGACAGCCTTCCACAGTCCTGGCTCCACCATGGGCACTCAGCACCGACCCTGAGTTTGTGTTGAATTTGGGGTGTGTTGAGTTTTCTGACCACCTGCTCCCTGCCATGGAGCTGACATTTTGATGACACGGGCAGAAGTAGACAAATTCTTGTGAAAATAAATATTTGTTTTTCCAGTCCATATGACAGTGCTTTGCAATTAAAAAGCACTTTATTTAAAAATACCCTTAGACTTTGGCCTTCTACTTAAATCTTGCCTCAGTACAAGAACCGTTTGTTCTAATAATGGGGCACTGTATGATACACACCTACCTGACACATTCGCTGAAGACAAAGTGGGTGCATAAGCAAATGTGGTGAAGAAAGCTAGTGGTGCCCGGCTATCAAGTGCCTGGGGTCTTAAAGGCTTGCAATTAAACAAGCGGCCATTAGCAGGGAAGCAACAAAGCCCACATGGAAGAAGCACACGAGCCTGTGTGATCATGAGGTGTCAATGGGAGAGGTATCAGAAGTTCAAAAACATACAACCT